AAGTGTGGATTCTGCCATCCAGTCTGCATGAGACAGAAACAAGTGCATTGTAAACAGGGCTCACATTGCTTTTACTGAACCAGAGCTGGACTTGAGCATGAGCTCTCTGGTGGTCCCATGTGGGTAGAAGTTCTGAGCTTGTGATGTGTGGGAGATGAGACTGACAGAAAGAACTAGACACATGATGTGGAAAGTGCAAGATTCTCAGAGCTAAGAAACTAAGGAGGAAGCAGAAGAATGGTTTGAGGCAGGGTTTCTGGAGCTGCGAGGAAGATCATTCGCTGATAGACCAGGAGAGGTTTGGAAGCCACTCGGAAAAGATGGAGAAGTTTGGAGTGAAGGTGGGGCGCTGTTGAAGCAGATGGAAAGAGACAGACTGCCTCGGCATTCAGGTGGAAAATCATCACTGCAGACATTTATAAAACACCCATCCACACCGGGTGCTGTTCCAAGAGTTCACTGATTAAGAGAGAACATTTCAAATTTAGAACCCAGGAGTGGACCAGACAGGACAGTGCAGACCAAGAATGTAGGATTGCAGCTGGAAGTATCAGTAACACCATTCTAAGATGGGCTTACCCATGTAAATCTAGAGACTGTGCACCTGGAACCTGGCTCCCTGTGTGGGGTTTGGGCTTTGAGGCCAGTGAGAGCCCGCCCTGCTCATGTCTTCCCTACTGCTCGGTGGCATCAGGTGGGCGGTTTGGGATGGGCCATGGTACAAGTATTTACATCATGGGGATCAGCAAATGCTACAGATCGGAGTTGCTCCCCTTCCCCGCCTCAAGAGACATTTGCCAGCACATCAACCTAGAACTATGATAATTTATGGGGTGCTCCCTAACCTATTTAATGAAGCCATCCAACAAGCTTTGATGCAGTAGCTACTTCGTCTAAGCTGCTGACTCTAAGGTATCATGTAAGGTGCTAGGGATACAGCAGTGAGCAAGACAGACGCAGACCCTGTCCTCTGGAGCTAACAGTATAGTGAGGGAAACAGAAATAAGGTTGACCCAAATGCTAACTCAGTTAATTCAATCGTGAGTAATGCCACAAAGGAGACAGGCAGGGTCCGGAGGCCACCTCACCCTCTACCCCTGACCAGCAGCTCCACTCTCTGGGTTCGTAATGGAAAGGCAAAGCGCCACTGCCCTCACTGTCTTCTTACTGCTCATGCCTCCAGCCCAGCTTTTCCTTATCAATAATGGGCAACAACGTCAGCACCTCCACGTCCCTGGTTCTCAGAGGTTTAGCAGAGCAGTCTTTGGAAAGCCAACGTCCTCCCCCACCAGCACCTGGCCAGGCCTAGCTCCTGCCCCTCTCCCGCTCCTCAGGACACCATGGTTTCCATGGGAACCCACTCACTTCAAAGGGGAACGAAGGAGACTGGAGGGGAGGAGGGGGAGGGAAAGCTGGATTAACCTCACCCTTTTGGCCCTGCCTCTGCGCTGCCGGCAACCTAATCCCCCGATTTAGGCAGCACCTAACATCGAACCCATCACCAGCATGGGCAGATGGGCACTGTGGTTCAAGCTAAGCTTGAACTTCTTTGAGAGAAAACCTCAGGGTTGAGGTGGGGGCTGGGGGAGGAGAGAACTGAGGTTTGGGAGGTTCAAACCTGTGGTCCCTCACTCCACTGGCCTCCCCTCTTTGGACCCCCTCTCAGCGCTGCTCCTGGGCCACAAACACAATTACCCGCGATGTGTATCCAATCATGGGATCTGCTCGGATTAGACTGCAATCATTAATCTGAGCGGGAGCCCCTGGTTGCTTTGCTGATTAGTCCAGATGATGCTCTGGTATGATCCAATTAAAGACAGACGCTGCCCTCCGTCCCCCACCCCACAGTTTCCACATCAGAAGGGAACTAGTACATTTCATTAACACATCCTCATACACAAATAAAACCTCCCGGGCACTGGCAGGCTCCCTCCCCTTTGTCACACTGTCCCTCTGCCACCCAGCAGGGCCCTAGGCAGGGAGGGGCCACCCTCACTCTTCCTTCATCTGTGGTTCTAGGAGGGGCCATGATGGGGGCTCCCAAAAGCTGGTGTGGGGCACTCATCTGAATGGAAAGGGTCTGGTTACATTTATTGACATGAAATGCCGATTCCCCGATGTGCTTTGGAGCAGCCAGGCTGCCCCAGGCAGGCAAATCTAATTAAAATTACCTGACCCTACAGGAGGCTGAGCTCCCTCCCCGGTCATCCCGGGGCAATGGCTGCAGAGAGGGCGGCTGGTGCTAATGGGAGAGGTGTGGTTGTAGGAGACAATCCCGGGGCTGCCGGGCCAGGAGGCAGCAGCAGGACTGGAGAGATGGGAAGCCAGCATGCTGCTGCTGTCAGTTCGGTGTCCTGAGGTGCTGGGGCAGCCACGGGATTTGCCTGGGATTCCCTCTTCCACGTCAGACAGCTGCAGACATACTTTGGGCAAACACCAAGGGTTGCAGGTGGTCAGCCCCGTGGGAGAAGATAAAGCCCAGGAGGGAAGGGGAGTAGGAAGAAGTGTTAATTGCAGAAAGGTCTAGGCCATATTTCAAGTGACATTCATGTGATGGCTCCCATGGGAGCGGTGACCCACCTCTCCTGCAGGTTGGCCTGGGTAGGGTACGTGCCTGGTATTGTGAGAAGGGCTTTGGAACCCATGGTTCCCATTGGTGAGGACCTAATAAACCCATCTGTTTGGTGCCAGACGCAGGGCCAGGTGCCTCCATGGGCCATCTCTTTGATTCTTATCAAGTCTGCTGCTTAGGTTCCATCGGGACATGAAAGCTCGGAGAGGCTAGGACACGGTGGAGGTGGGACTCAAACCTAGGTTTCTAAAAACTGTCTGTTACACCACTCATCTGGGGGTCTTTCTCGACCATGATCTATGCTCACTACAGGCCGCTGTCCCAGGGGTCTGAGCAGCTGCGAGGTGAGTCTTCAGTATGCATAGGAATCCCCTGGGATCTTGTGAAAATTCAGATTGTGAGTCCTTAGGCCTGAGTGAGCCTTGAGAGCCTGCATTTCTAATCTGCTCCCAGGTGATGTGATGCTGCGAGTCCACAGGCCATACTTTGAGTAGCAATGCTCCAAATAGAGTATGACAAGCATATGTCATCAGGCTGTTGGGCGGTTTTCAGAGGCCATGTTACTCCCTTCCCTTCTTATGCTCCCCACAAAAGCACAAGCCCACCGCACCTTGCCCGGGTTAATTACAGGTGGCTGTGCAGTCTCACCTCTCCACTGCCAGCTTCTCTGGCCACTGGCTATTCCTGAAAGGTCCTCTCCTACCCCATTTCTCCACCTAGTGGGGTCTCCTACTCAACCTTTAGGACCAAACTCAAATATTGCCTTCTCTGTGAAGCCTTCCCTGTTGCTCTGACCACGTAGCTCTGGTTTCTTGTTTGCACATGAGACGGTGCCTGGAGAGACGGAGGGAAGAGCCTGTACCTTGGCCCTCCTTCTGCTGGAGTCTAGCACAGCCCGCACATAGGAATAGTAAGGATTCAATAAGAGAGTGTAAAGAGGGAAAGGCCGAGGGAAGGAGGCCCATCCCACACTGGGGTGGCTAGCTTGACCTTTCTTACAGTCTCCCTGACAGGTACCATGACCTGGTCCTGGAGTTCTTTGGGGCCCAAGCCAGAGCTCTCCACCGGCAGGCAGCCGGGCCTGGCCTATGTGTTTCGCAGGTCAGGGCACGGGTGCTGTGTTTTGTCCCTCTGCTGGGCCCAGGAGGCCCCCAGTGCCAGGATCCGTGATCAGAGGCCACTGCTCTGGACTCCCAACTGTTGGTATTAGAGGCATTTGGCTTATCTGAGGAACTAAAAATAATGCCGATGAGAATGAGAATAACAGCCCTAATTACCACCATTACCATAAAGGCGCTGTCATTGGGGTGGTGGGGGAGGAGTCAGAAAGAAATAAATCTTCCTATTCATTAGTCTTGGGTGAATCATTCCACGTGTTACTGGCATTTGCACCTGCTGCAGTGTGTGCCCAGCCAGAGGCGAGCCATGCTTGCTGATGCATGTGAACATATAAGCTCCCACAAGGGAATGTGAGCAAGGGTCCAGCCTCAATACTGAGTGCAGACTTGGGCACCTTAGTCCCCACCTTGGGTTATCATATTCTTAGTGGATATGATAACCAAAGTCCCTGTAGGAACCTCATTCAGGCCTGTTCTCAGGTGACAGCATCTTCCTCCCCAACTATGTACAAGAACAGGAGTTCATCAAGGAGAGAGGCATTTCCCTGAGCCCCATCCCACCCTCTGCAACATTCAGGACTCAGCCCTGGATGCGTGGGGCAGATGCAGAACAAGACAAAACAAGCTGCCTGTCCTCAGCAAACTCCCCTTCTTGGGGAAAAGTGCCATAACCTACAATCACACCCAATACCTATTATTTAAAAACAAAGACTACCACGGATCCAAGTGTGGTCCAATAACCAGCCGCATCAGATTCACCTGGAATGCTTTTAAAAAATGCATATCCCTCTTCCTATAGCTTGATCTACTGATTTGGCATCTTTGAGGATGGAGCCCAGACCACGTGTTTTAACAAGCTCTCGCTGTGATTTTCATGCCTCCTAAAGTTTGTGGACTGCCAAGTCCTAGAGGGTGCGGTCAGAGGTCCGCCAAGCTCTGGTGGGCTTGATGGAGGGAAAGCAACAATGGGGCACAGGGCGAGGACAGGGTCCTGAGGCAGCTGCCTGTTTGACTGAGCGGAGGGTTTCTGATACCCATTAGGGGTCATCTGCCTGGTTGAGATAGGAAGTGCTGCTCTTGGAAGATGCTGCCTAGGCCTCCATATCCCTCCCTAGACATTTCCAGAAAGCTAGAGTCACTGTGGCCAGCTGAGGGGTTCCTGGATTAAGTAGAGAGAGAAGGAGGCCGAGAGAGAATAGCTATTGGCCGTCATCTCTGTTGAGCCCACCCTTTGGCCTGCATTCTCACTCACAACTGAGCTGGGCCTGAAGCTGGTTGAGGGCTGTAGACACAGCTGAAGTGTCTCCTACCTGTACACAGCTCGCTTGTCAGCCTCCAGCTGGGCCTGGGGGTCGATGGGGGCACTGGGTACAGGTGTGCTGGCAGCAGCTGAGGGGGCAGAGATGTGGACAGCCTGGGCCTTGGAGGGTGGCTGGGCGGTTGCCGTCATCTGCAGAGAGAAGAAAGGGGAGATGGTGGGTTAGCATGGCCAAGGTACTGGTCTCCAGGCTGTAGTGTGAGGTCTGCCTTGGCCTGTGCTGTGCCCTGAAGACAGCATGTGGGCAAGAGAACTGTGAGCACACAATGAGCATCCATTCGTACGTGTGCTACAGTGGGGAGAAAAGCTGGCTTTCTTCAAATGAGCATGTTCTAGAAAACAACTTCAGGCCATCCAAAACCAGGAGATGCCCAGCACACTCTGAAAAGAGATGACTCTTAATGCAAATATGGTAACCCTTGCCCAGAAGGAGAAAAAAACAATAGGATGAACCCTTTAAATTGTGCTTATGAGTCATTTGGACCATCATACAGTTGATTTGATGACTTTGAAAAGCAGGAATAAAGGAGTTGAATCAGCTGTTATTTGGACACAGCTTTATTTATTCCCTTTAATGCAAGCCACAGGCAATGGTCCCAGGGGTTTTGACTGACGACTGAATGGCTCTCCAAATTTGGTTTACCTGGCCACTTCAAGACAAGCAGTCTTTGGTGGGCAATGGACAGATTCTTGTTCTTGGCCATAACAAATATTTAGGGCAGGGGTTTTCATAATCTGTGACATGTTTATGAAGGTGTCCCGAGGTTGGCAATTTTGTACCAACCAGAGCAACTCCTTTTAATACTATCTATTAGATTTTCTATCTAAGGTTTTGTTTAAAGAAATGGTTCAACGATTTAATTTTTTTAAAAAACCATCATTATGGAGTTTCATGCTTTTTTATTTCCTTCAGTCAAAGAAATGTCTAAAAGTGTGAATAATGATAAGCCTCAACTGATCTCTTATACCACCCTGTCCATAGTACGATGGTAGCTCTCCCCACATGTGGTGTTGGGCTTCATGTACTTATCTGTCTTCTCCTCTGAGGCCTTGTTCCCTCCTTCATAGACAGCTTCCAACTGACACATACTTAGTAAAAAGTTTGATGCTTATTAAAAATACTTGCGGAGAAAATGAGTGAGTAAATAAATGAATGAACGTGCCTTGAAAGAATCAGATATTTTATAGTTGCAAAGTTCATCATATGAATCTAGGTCCCTGCTTTCTGGAAGAAAAAGTATTATACTTCTGTGAATACAAGCATTGCTGGTGCATATATCCCCAAGACATTTGCATGTCTTCATTTAGATCTCTTCATTTAGATCTCCGCTCAGATGCCACCTCTTTGGAGTACCATACAGCCCCTCCGCCTTTTGCTTTATTTTTCTTCATAGCCCTTACCATGACCATATTCTATATTTATGTGCTTATTGATTTTCTCTTCACTCCCAGCTAAAACGTAAACTCATGGAGTGATTGTAACAGTTGAATTCGTAGGGCCCAGAATAGCCTGGCACTAGTAGGTGTTCAATAAATATTTGTTGAATCAATGAATAGATGAATGATGGATGGTGAATGAGATTGAGACTGTAAAAGAAATGTACCTGCTTTCCTAGATTGTATCATTGTTTATTAGGCAGAAATACCCTTGCCACTGTCGGCTGATCTGGGGGAGCCTTTCCAATCTCAGTGGGTAAGAGGCTAGACATAGCATCATGGTGCCTGGAAGCCAGAAGACAATGCTTGAATCCTACCGTCTCCCCCTATTAGCCTTTGACCTTGGGCAAATTCTTTAACTTTCCTAAGCTCCTATTTTCTCATCAGTAAGAAAATTGGTGACCTTTTGGAATTCATGAGTATTAAGGAGGTGCTGTAAGAAAGAAAGTAGAAGCAAATGCTGTTCCAATTTTCAAAATAGAGAAAGAAAGTGAATTCTGAAAAAAACTAAAACCCAGTCATCTTCACACTTATCTGGGCCAGATTCATCCCTTCATTCACTAACGCAACTGATCATTTCTTCAAATACTTCTTGAGTCCCTGCCATGTACCAGGCACCATGCTGGGCACTGGGATCACAAAGATGAGAGACTGCTATCAGAAAGCTCAGTTTGTGGATCTGACATGATCATTAAGCTTGCAGATCAGGAAAATATGGTGTAAGCGACCTCAGCAAGGTATTTCCCATGATAGCCTGGCAGAAAACGTGGAGAGACGCAGCCTGGTGGACAATTGCATGGATTAGCAAACTACACCCAAGGGATGACAATTAAAGGATAGATATGTTTGGGGCAGGTTTCCAAAAGAGTGTCACATGCTTCCTCCTTATCCTCTTATTCAGCACTTTAATCAGTGATTTAGAGAACGTCTAAAAAAATGCTCAACAAATTTACGAATGCCGTGAAACTGGGATCCAAAAGATCTTTACAGATTTTGGCAAGGGGCTAAATCTGATAAGATTAATCTTCATCTAATAAGTTAAACTTTAACACTTTTAACATTTGGGCCAAGAAAAACCAATATTGAAGTGCAGGGAGGGAGAGACATGGCTTAATAGCCGTGTTTTAGTTGACAGCTGGCTCAGTGTATCAAAAGTGTAATGTGTTTGTCAAAAAAATCCAACCTAAACTAATGCTAGCTGAGGATGCATTAACAGAGGCATTGCTCACAGCATGCAGAAACTTCTGGTCTTGCACTACTCTGATTAAACAAGTACTTGAAAATACATTCAAAGCAGAGTCGGCCAGGATGGTAAAGGGGTTCGGTACTTCGTTGTATGAGGAATATTTGAAGGAACCTGGAATATATAAGCAAGATTTGGAGGATGGGGGAGAAGAGGAGACATGAAAGCCCCCTTTGAATATCTGAATGAGGGGATTTGATTATATCAGTTCTGTATGACTTGAAGGGCTGAACTACAAGCAATGCATTTGATCTATAACAAGGAGACAACCTAAATAATACTTTTCCAATCCCCCAACTCTTTAAGGCTGGAATGGGCTGCTTCCCTTTCCAGGTGAATTTCCTGCCACTGCAGAGGCCAAGTAGAGTCGGACTGACCAGCTGGGCCACTGTGGAGAACATGGGAGCTTCAGCTGGGTGGCTGGGTTACATGATAGCTGAAGTCCCCTCCAACTCCAACAGGCTCAGACACCATGAGGGTGTTTTAATAATCACCACCCACCACACAGTGCTGGTGTGAGGCTCGGATTTGACGATGTGTAGTATGTAAAAGTGCTTTGGAAACTCTAGAGCGCTTCACAGATGGAGGAGAGGTTGTTATTATTAAACACGAGATTTCCGGAATGTACTTCTGCCATAAAGCAAGGCATAGCTACATCTGCACAGCTCGTTTGAGGGTGACATGTAGGGGGAAGAGTGTGCTCTGCTCTGCCCACTAGGAGTAAGTTTCCTCATGTCCTTGAAGGAATCCACAAACGGCTCCTGTTAGCTGAGCTCCTGGGATGAAGAGGGATGAAGCAGGATGAAGTCCCCCTCCTAGGCAGGAGTTCCGGGAAAGGTGGGTGGGGAAGGCCCTGGTGGGTGAAAGAGGAAACCTCAGAATAAAATGTAAATCAAAAGCGGTCACTTGCCAGTGTCCTAAGAGGCCCCAGCTGAGAGGCTGTGACTGGCAGAAGTATGGGAAGAAGACAGCAGAGCTGGTCTGAGGAGGACGATGACTCAAATTTACATAGCTCATGGGGGCCAAGTCAGCAAACTGTGCATTTCCTGCAGGTTTGGAGAATGAGTGTTTATCCCCAAATAGGTTTCTTTTTCTAGCCAGAAATATCCACTTCCCAAGAATTGGAGCTCAAAGGGAGAGGACCTGCAGCTGTCCACAGGGCTTGGGGGCCAGGAGGATGGGAATAACTTGAATTTTTGGGGGGGAATTTACTGGGTAGCACAGTCTAAAAAGTAGGCTCAGGTGTGAACCAGGCGCAGGCCGTGGCTATTAAGCAGTGGGCTGAAACCGCCTTGTTCTGGCCTGTGAAAGCCAATTGTTAAATCTTCAGAAATTTTGCAAATTGGTTGACATCACATTGGGAGCTTGAAATTGGCCATGGTGGGAGCATTTACACCATGGAAACTGGCAAATGCTGCAAATCAGGGCTTGCCCCGGCACTCCCCACCCCCACTCTCAGAGAGCAAGTTGTTAAATATTTACTAGCACATCTCTAATTTCAGTTTTTCCCCAAGTAGCTTTCTTCCATTCTTTTTGGTCTGGCATGGGAAGAAACTCATCTTACCCACTGCAGGAGGCCACTTGGTGCATTCACAGCTGGTCTCAGAACTGGCCACTCCAGATTTGGAGCTTTTCTCCAAGGAGCCCTCAGAGCACTCTGGAGACCCTGCCCTGGCAGCCCGCTAGGGAAAGGGACAGGTAGGCATCAGTGCAGGCATGGAGGACTGTCCCTTTTCAACCAGGGGAAGCTCAGGCAACGTTGAACAATGTCCTGAGAACTGCCTGGGAGATCAGAAAAGCCTCAGAGAATGGAAAGAGCAGAGGATCCGGCCCTGGGTTTGATGCTCCTCTGCCAATTATTAGCTACGTGTTTTGGGACAAGTTTCCTGATCTCTTTGGTTTCCTAATCTGTAAAATGCAGGAGATAATACTCACTCTGCATGTTGTGCTGATTAATCAAGAGAACCAGACAATGGTTACTGGTGGGGCAGGAGGCAGCATTCCCTGTGGAGGCCCCTATCAGACGTGACACTGTGCCAGCACCTACACACATGCTAATAAAATATTTCTGGAGTGGGTGCAGTGGCTCACACCTGCAATCCCAGTGCTTTGGGAGGCTGAAGTGGGTTCTGTGCTTCCCATGTCCTCTCTTGGCCTAGAGTTCTTTCTTGGGGCAAATACCCTGGGGCCATCACCTCCATGCACTTCCCTCCTGTAGATGCTATAACCACTGGACTTCTCTCTGCCATCTAGCCAGAACCAGTTCTGCCTTAAGCTTGCAGCTAAGGAAACCCTGATTCTTGGTTTGAATCAGATTCTTGGTTTGAAGGTTCTTTCTTTTCCCATTCTAAAAAGGAGTGGGAAGAGTTGGGAGTTTTCAGATGTATATGCAGGTGTGTAAAATCTGGGTGGGGCTGAGAGATCCAGCCACGCTGGCAGTCTGGTCTTCTAC